TCCACTTCAATTGGAATATAAGTTGTGGCCTCTGGATTGGGCCATTGTTCTCCTGCACGATTCCACTTCAATTGGAATATAAGTGCTTTGCCACAGGATGAACATGATCAGTCCAGTTCGCTTTTATTGGTATTTACTTTGTCCTCTAAAGCTTCTATCGGTATTTACCCCGCCTTCTGAGCAGACCTACACTGTGTCATGCCCTGTGTACTCTAACCAGAATCCTTCTTTGTGGAAAACAACCGCTCGCTTGTTTTAATGTTCCACAACGGAAGTTTTGTCTTCGTGTCGGGAATAAAGTGAAGAAATGTGACAGTTTGATTTTGTTCCCTGCTACCCAAAAGGTTGTTGAATATGTTCTTTGCCCCGGTTGACTTGCAGGGAGGTGTTTTTACGTTTATGGGTTTTACGCCCTGCAGACGCAACGTGGCGTTCGCCTCTGCGAGCTGCTTAAAGTACCTGAGGAAGTTGCTGACTGACACCTGAGATCTTTCTCCCTTTCGCATCCTGGGTCGGATTGTACAGCACAGTACCACTCAAAAGTTTGGACACGCCGACCTATAAAGTGGTTTATTTGTACTATTCTGTACAGTTCAGCGTAATTATAAAGACATCAATACTATAAAATAACATGGAATTATGCACTGACCAAAAAAGTATTTAACAAAACAAAGTTGTTGGGGGCGTGCAGCTCTGTGATTTGGGACTCAGAAGGTTGGCAGTTCAAATCCCTGGGTTGGCAAAGTGATCCCACCGTTGGTCCCTTGAGTAAGGCCCTTAACCCCAGTTGCCCCAGGGACTGGCTGACCCTACTGTCCCCTCTACTGTCTCCTCTACACCAGTTCCATGAGGTGGCCTCCTGGGATGCTTCTCCAGCTGTCCTGACGGAGCTCCCACATATATGCTGAGCTCTCATTGGCTGCTTTTCCTTCACTCTCAGGTCAAACTCATCCCAAACCATCTCTACTGGATTTTGGTCAGGGGGCCAAGGCTTGGTGTGTCCAAGCGTTTGTCTGGTACTAGATGTGGTTGTAGCAGTAGTAGCTCCTAGCTGATGTCTTTCTCAGTCTTCCATGCCAACATCAGATTACCCACTGCTCCTTGTGAAGCACCTCCATTCACTATATATTGTGTCCTATAAGACTCTCTTTTCCCAGACCTCCATGCGGTTGATAGGGTCTTCTGGACCTGTTAGTGATATGACCTTGTTTGATTGACATAAACAGAATCTCCACATGCTCCAGGCCTCTTTGGGTTGTGTGCTTCTCACAAGTGTGACTTTAACTCCTGGTTCATTAGTAGCCCAGTCTCACTACATCTGGACCGCCCCCAGTCCCTTAAGTGAATTAGATCTCTGGAACATACCAGAACCCATAACACTGCTTCGGCGATTTCTGTGACTCTACGAGGAACGCTGCCTGCTGTATCTACCCTGATTTGGTGAGATTGAAAGTTACCACTGGCTTCTAGCCAGATATTTACCAGATTATTTCTTTTAGAAAGTGTTATAATAATGCAATGACAGAATCAGATATTTCCTATATCAGTCCTTTTGCAAAATACTATCAAATAGCATCATGATATTTGAAGCAATCTTTGGCATTAAAAATTAGATTCTTTAAGAAAAGTATTTGGATTTTAATTGTGAAATATTCTATTTTTTAAGATGCCCGCATAGAAAAAACAATCAGTTTTATATTGTTACTAAACCACCTTTACAAGGTGGAGAGAAAGGGAAAAAAATGGCAGCATTACATAGATCAGATTTGTTCCTTTGTAACGGAGGCTCTTTGGGGGAAAAGCATGCGGCTCACAGTGGTTTGAGGTTGCTGGTCATTTTCCGTGCGTCTGTGGCAAAGCTGTCCTCCGCAGTGGGTGCAGGGCCGTGGGGGGAGGGGCCGCGGGCCCGTGCTGCTGGAGCAGGGGGTTGCCATAACAACAGCACCTTGGTGGTTCTCTCCCCCCTGACAAATGAGTCTCTGCTGTTGGTGGGGGATCTGAAGCAAGAACAGCTCCTTTAGTCAGATGAAAGAGCTGCCGTCTGTCTGAAGGGCCCTTTCCTCCCTGCCCCCCATCACTCTCTCATCTCAATTCCTCCCCCCCCCCCCCCCGCACCGCTGATAGAGACAGTGGAAGGCGGCTTGTATTCGGGCGAGCCGCTGACTAGCCACGGAGCGAGGTGGGACGGTAATGCGTGGGGGGTGGGGTATATGGTTCCCTTTTTAACATCGGCTGATGGCAGAGGCAAAATCTGTGGCACTTGCGAGTGGCAGGACCTGTGGAGGTGCAACTGCCCCCCTCCCTCTGTCTTGGCGGAGATGGAATCGGCGTATGTTCTTTTTTTCACCCTTTCCAGACCGTGTCGGTCCCTCGATCGGTGCTGTCTGGTGACGGCAGTGCACTCCAGGCTCATGGACGTTATATTGTTCTGAGACCGAGACCTTAGAGACGTCAGCGTTACTGCGGTGCGGGTCGGCGGTGCGGGTCGGCGCATTCTCAACAGGACCACCGTCGCGGCTGCCGACGCACCCCCCCAAGTCAGAATTGAGATTCTGCACCTCACCACTTTTACCCAAACGTGCCGCAAAGCACAGATTTTTTTTTTTATTACATTATAAATGATGCACCGCTCTGCCCTACAGACGAAGAATAATGGGATTTGCAAACAAGGGGCCTGAGTTTTTTTCTACTTTCCCATCCGTGGGGCCTGGAGATGAGTGACAGGATGAGTAATCTTTATGACCTAATAAATGCTACTGATATTGACAGAGCCCGTCATAAAGCCCCACGCGGCACACTGCCGAGACATGGGGAAGCAGACAAATAAATAAATAACACCCCCCCCCCCCCCCACACACACACACACACACACACACGCTCACACTCTTTGCCGAAGCAGACTCAGGAATCTCACTTTCAATTTCTGAATCCTTCCAGTTATTTTACGGAACGCTGCTCAGTAAACATCAGCTCTGCGTTTTTCACGGATGGATCTGCCTTCTCTGCCTTCTGGGGGGGCTCACAGAAAGGGTTAAAAAAAAAAAAAAAAAAAGCCCAGAATCAGAAGATTGAATTATTTTATTGTGGCTGAAACCCTGGTAGGTAGGGGGGGGGGCTGTATGTATCATTCTCTTCTTCCAGGAGGAGATGCAGGAGCCATGGACCTCAATAAAGGTTCTGGAAGCAGAGATACAAAAATTGTAATGGATGTCACTGCACTGTAATTAACGACCACCCTCTTAATGAGCACACCTGCGGTGTAATCAACACAAACAGGTTGCCACGGCGCCGCTGGCGCCCCCGCGTAACACGGTCGCCTTTGTTTGAGCCGACCCAGGGTGACGCCCGTCACAGCTTTTCAGAAATATTTACCGTCAAATCCCCCCCCACCCTCGGAGCGGCCGCAGCGACCAGCTCTGAAAAGGCCCAGCTTATCCTCAGCAGTGGAATCAGTCGTGCTCCATTGTTCCTGCCGCCCGCTCTGGAGTCATTAGCATACGTGTGGTGGGGGGGCGGGGTATCACTGCCATAAAGAGCAGTGTCGGAGGATTTTACGTTAGATTGCCGGGTGGCATAACTATAAACTGAGGTGGTCGCTGATGGTTGAGGAAGACTCTCCATTTATATTCGCTTGTAAACAGAGGACGTAAAAAAATAAGAATGCCTTGGGAACCTTGAGCCGTAGTGTCTTGAATCCTGATGTTTGCACACAGTGCTCGGGGCGACAAAGAAAATGCGTTGTGTGGCCGGTCCCACCCTATGGGTCTTTGGGTACTGAGTAGGTATTTTGGAGGAATGAGCGAAAAATAAGTCCCTGCTTATGTTAAGTGGGCAAGAGGGTCGATGCAGAAGGAAGGACGTGCTTGACTTTCAAAGCAGCTGCAGAGGGATCTTCGGGGAAGGGTCTGTCGAGGGTCGTAACTCCCCCCACCCGCCCGCACAGTTGATCTCTGCCATCTTCTGTAATGTACAAAATGTGTTCTCTGGATAAAAGGTTGCTGGATCTGCTGCCCCGACAGCGTCGTATGGTTGTGTTGGACCCTCCCCCAGGCAGTGGTGCTCCGCCCCCTTCCCGCCCCCCTCTCCGCCCAGGTGCGGCGCATCTGGTCGCAGCGGTACGCGTGGCGCGTCAGCGGCATTCAGCAGCGCTGCGTTGGTGGCCGCTTGGCTCCTGACAGCCACAGCCGAGCCTCTTTAATTACTGCGAGGAATTAAACGGGAGACACTGGTGTAATAAGCGCTTTCTGAAGTGTGAACAATGAAGGTTCGTCAGCTGTCATTTTTTTTTTCTCCCCGGCAAAGATTCCTTCCGCTGTTTTTCTCTTTTTCCCATAGATAATGATTAAGTGTTAACAGCCTGTAGTTATCACACTGTTGTTCACTCCACGCAATATTCTTCTGGGGATGAAGACAAGGAAAGTAAATGCACATCAGGCTTCCTTAAGGGGGGAGGGGGGACACTGAAGGTGGCTTAAATAGTCTGTGACGTTGCTTGGCACAGCGTTGTTTTGTTTGGTTTTTTTTTTTTTGGGATTCATTTGTCTAGGCACCTTCCATCTGGTACTTGTTTAATCGAGTCATGTACAGAAAACTTTCTTTCCCCCATCCTTGATGCATCCTGGTAATTTTAAGCTGAATCTTCAGGTATGATCATGGAGGCCTGTTGATTGAGTTGAGGTTGAAAAGGTTGGTGCATTTGAACCTCTTGATTTTGTGATGGCGGTTAGAACTTTCCAGACTCGTCACCTCTGAAGCACATTTTTTTTCCCCTTTGTGGTTAGAAATGAATCAGTATTCTGTCCATGTTGTCTTTGCTTCCCTCTAAAAGCTGTGGAGTTTGTCGTACTTTACAGAGCACATGGCACAGTAATAGGAGTGCATTACTTCTTGCTGTGTTCAGCCAGCTGTCTGAACTTATAAACGAAGAACAAATTGAAATGAAAGTGTGTAATCAAATTGTACATCTGTGCTTCGGCTCACTTTTCCTTCTCTTTCTTCAGCTTCAGGAGACCGTGAAGAGGAAACTGGATAGTGCTCGCTCGCCACTGAACGGGGACCAGAATGGGATTTGTGATGGGAGCTTCTCTCCGAATGCGAAAAGGGTGCGGAAGGATGGTGTCGGAGGAGGCATGGACTCACTGGCTAGCTTGCCAAACAACGTGCCCCCAGTGCCAGCAGTCTCGCCCCTCCACCAATTGGACATCAAACCCCAGCTTCCATTGACAAAAAACACCAACAGCAGCAACATACATGTCCCTAACCGAGCCGAGGATCTACCAAAGAATGGTGGACTGGCAGACCTTAAGCTTCAGGTCAACGGCTCTCTTGATTTGGACGAAGGCTTTAGCCATCTCCAAAACAAGGAGATGAAGCAGGAGCCCCTGGACGACCCCGCTGGCATCGAATCCTCGGACACCTCTCTCTCAAACCAAAATAAACTCTTCTCAGACATCAATCTCAATGACCAAGAGTGGCAAGAGCTTATCGATGAGTTGGTCAACACGGTGCCCGAGGATGACATGCACGACTTGTTCAATGAGGATTTCGAGGAGAAGAAGGAGCCAGAGTTCCCCAGGCCAGCTGCACAGACACCCCTTCCCCAGGAGCCCCCTCCTGTAGCCTCTTCTCAGAATAACCAGATACCCATGGGATCCCCGCAGGTCCGGCCGTCCTCTTCGGGCCCGCAGTTTGGCACAGCAGCTAATAGCACTCCACCTCAGCAACCACAACTACAGCAACCGCCTCCTGTTTCTATAGCATCAAGCTCGCCTGCCAATTGTGTGGCACGGTCGCCGCAAACTCCCAATCAAGGTCAGACTCAGCCTTCCCGGCCTGGGAATGGTTTTCTGATTAATCCGGGCTCAGGGGTGCTTCCAGGGTCTACTTCAGGGTCTGTTGGGGCTTCAGGGGCTACCGGGGTGGGCAGTACATTCCCCATGCCTCAGTCTACAGCGGAACTGTCTTCGGCTGAGCAGCTGAAGCAGATGGCTGCTCAGCAGCGGGCGAAACTCAATCAGCAGAAGCAGCAGCAGCAGCAGCAACAGCAGCAGCAGCAGCAATCGTCACAAGCAGCTAACTGGTCCCCTGCCGGGCCTCCTACCAGTCCGTATGGTGGGCCTTTCAACTCGGACAAGCCAAATAGCCCCATGATGTACCCGCAAGCCTTCAATACCCAGAACCCAATGGTGCCTGTGATGGGGAACAACCCTCAGAAGGCTGCCATGACCAGCTACCTCCCTCAGAACCACATGAACATGATTAGCCAACAGCCAAACAACATGGGTCAAAACGTGTTGAGTAAACAGCAGGGCAATGTTCTCTCGTACAGCAACACTAAGCCCCTGAGCCACTTCAGCGCTGTGGACCACATGGGCCAGAGGATGACCCCGCCTGTGGCTAACCCTGCCAAGAACTCCGCCATGCCTTACATGCAGCTTCCGGCGGGGCAAGGCGCAGGCCAGTCGCAGGTGCCCGCTCAAGCCCAGGGCCAGATGCCTGGCCAAGCGGCCCACTTGAGCGAGGAGAGGAAGCGAATTCTGCTCATGAATCAAAAGCAGCAGGGGTTGTCCTACAGCAACATGCCACCTCATGGACAGGTGAGTATGGTTGTGACTCCTTTTTCTGAAATGTTGAGTGATACTGGGATGTCTGAGGTGATTGCACTGGGTACCTTGGAAGGTCAGTAGGCGTGTACCTGACAGATTTTCACATGTGGCCTGGTGTGAAATCTTAAAGGGGGGTAATAATACGAGATGTCTTGCTGTGTGCCGTTGCATAGCCAGAGTTGTTTTGAATGGTAATTAATGAAGCAAACTTGACTCTTGAAATTCTCAAGCATGCCTCTCAATCAAATTGGGTAAAAAAACTCAATATCTCACGTCTTCTGGGGCCTAGGTGTTGTGTCATTCTAGGGGAGGGTGATGAGTACATCACTTAGAAGTCGATAGAATTAACTCCATCAGCAGCATCTGTGTTTAGTAACTCTAGGGAAATGTCCACATCCTGACAGAGCGAGCACCCCTCAAACGGCAAAGTGCAGAGAGCAGCTGCTGGCGGTGGTGCATTAAGGGACCTCAATACACCCTCACATCAGTAACGCTAATGAAAGGAAACGCTGACCCTATAATTTTCTGTGTTGTCAGCATACGGAAAGGGCAGGGTGCTACTGATCGCTTTTCCTAAGAACTCAAAGAACTTGGTCATAAGCTGGATGCCAAGTGGTCTGTCAGGGAAGTCAGTGCGAGTTTGAAGTGTTTACTAGTTCCATGTGCATGCTGCTTCTACGAGGTCCTAATCAGCATTTCACTTATTATATTGTTGGGCTCGATTGTCATGGCACAGCGCTGATACTATAATAATGTTGAAAATTTTGAGATTGACATAAGCTCATAACGACGTATAAATTAGTCATAAGCCCGAGTGGCAGTTTGAAGGTTTATATTTCTCAAGCTATAGGTGCAGCAGATTTGACTCCCCTCCAGCGGTTCAGCGGTGACCAATCTTGGAAAAGATTAATAAAGGGAGAGATTTATTAAGATGTGGCAGGTGCGGAGGAAGCCGCGGTGGAAGAGGCAGATTCTCTGATGGAGAGTTCCCTTCTCTCGTCTGTTTTTCTGCGGGAGGAGGAGGAAGAGGAGGAGGGACAGAGTCGTGATCGGCGGATCTGCAGTGCCGCTGTCACTCCCGGATTGCTGTGGCTGCGGGATGGAGTCCTACGACTGCGTAACAGTCTTGTAGAAGGACCCGAGATTGTCACAGTTCTCACTTTGCTGCGGTTAGAGAGCCATGGAGGTGGGGGTTGGTGGTTGAGGCAGTAGGGAGCAGGAGGGGTGAGAAACAACAGCAGCAACAAAAAGTACCTCAAATGGTATTTTTTTGTTGAGAGCTGTACAAATGGCCTCTTGTGCTCTGCGTGTGATTGGGAAGTGTGTGGTCTAGACTTCAGGTGTATTGATTATTGAACAGGCTGAACTGGGGGTGGCGTAGTTAGCATTATTTACGTGCTTATTTACGTGCTTTGTACCCTCGTCTGTCCTGGCGGGTGGTGGCTCATCACATGCTTTGTACAGGTCGCCACGTAGAGTCACATTACGTAATCTTATTCGCGTGCAATTATGAAACTCCGGCCTGCTTTTTAAAAGCTTGTTAGTAGAGGTTTAATTGTTACTTCTCAGTTTGCATTTCGTGGCAGCAGTAATTTATTCTCTGGCGGCCAATAAGGCGGCATTGCAGTGGATTGGATTTCCCACCCTACCCCACCGGCTAATGGATTTTTGTGGAGGCAGGGTCTTCGGAGAGCTGATTGGGGAATGAAGGTTTGATGGGCTCTGTAATGACCCACTGAGGAAGCTGTGTTATATTCCTCGGGGTTATGAATAAAGCCTTACCTGTTTTCGCCTTGGTTTCTCCCGGCTCCGTTCTTCGTATATCTTCCAATTGTCCGTAGTAATGAAGCTCATTTCTATGGAGATGGTAGATGATTTACCGTTTCAGAATGCAGCGGTTGGTTCATTTGTCGGCTTCTGGGAGGATGTTTATTGGAAAGTGGAGTGTACACAGTCGAAGTAGAGCAGCCCTTTTGGGAAGATCCAGGGGTGGGGTGGCGATGCTGCTCTTAAGCATTACGGCGGATGTTGTGGCTATGGATGAGCTGGCAGTGGGTCGTCGAACTCTGGCAGATTGCCGGCCGCCCTATCTGCGTGCATCACCACCGAAAGGGGGCCTCGCACTTCTTCGGTGAATGTGGCCTTCTCGCGCCCGCTCACAGGTTGGAACATAACCAAGCACCGGGGCTGTAGTTAAATGGCTGGTATCTCTGCCGGGCTTCAGTGATCGCATTTCAGCTCCGCTCTCTTAGAGACGTTTTTGGAACCACGGAGCTTCCTGCCTCCCTGTCGCATGGGGATGTTGCTGCACGGCTGCTGCGGCATTTTTACTTGCGCCGTGCTGCTCTTCACCCGCATTAAACATGCACGTTTAAGATTCCGTGCTGCCTGTCGGAAATGAGTGCCATTTCCTTTATTCCTCACTGTTCCCAGGTGACACTGTATCATGGTAAATGATTTTTTCCCCTCCCCCACTAGCAACCATAATGTTTTCATCTCAAGCATTTAGATTGTGTATTTTGTGTCCAATGTTGTGTTTTGGGAGCAAGCAGATCCAACACAGTAATTTCGGGTCAGGTGGGAAGTCGAATTCTCTATGCTGACTGGCAGTGATGTTTATTGGCTTCATCTTAGCCAACGAAAATCTGCGAGCTAATTAGTTCCACAATTAATTCCGCAGGTTTCAGACCGCCGAGATATAGGGGTGGGGCATACTTTCCCTACTGTGATGTTAAGCGTGCATATGATTTCTTTTTTTAATGAAGGAATCTTACGTCTACCTTGCATTTTCCTTTGCATTATTGATGCCAGAATCTTCAGTTAGAGGATCTTTCATTTTGCCTGTTACAGGCTGGAGAAGAAAAAGACTTTCAGACTCTCAAAGTGTGTAGCTGGAACTGGACCAAAGGAAAGAAATTTCATCCCCTCCTTGTCTCCTCAACCCCCGCCTCCTCGAAGTCCTTGAACACGCATGTCAAGGCCCGAGCTCTTATGCTGCTTAGAGACCTCCAGACGGGATACGTTACCTGTATGTGTGTCTGTCTGGTGAGTGTCAGAGTTGAGGGAGGGTGATACTTCAGAGGAGTAACCAGAGTAACAGTATGTTTGTGCAAGGAGGCTTCCTGATCCCCACCTGATGGAGGGAGTGTTCTTATTGTTCTACATCAGTGTTTCTCAGCCCAGTCTACGCGGACCTCCAGGAAGTCCACATTTCTGCTCCCTCACAGCTCCCAATACACCTGTAGCAGGTATTCTGTGCTTTTAGTCGTTTTTCTCGTTCTTGATTCTTTGGGTCAGGTGTGCTGGGAGCTGGGAGGGAGCAGAAATGTGAATTGTCTGGGGGGGGGGGGCGTCCCCAGGGGCCAGGTTGAGAGACTGTTCTGCTTTTTCCCTCCGCTGTCGTAGCTGCTAACTGGTGGTCATTGACTTGCACCCTTTTCAGCGATGCTAATGTTGGATAACGTGCCCTGATTTTGTGTCCCGTCCCTCAGTTCACCCAAAAAAAGCATCTCACCATGTACCACTCAAGCTTTAAAATAGGTTTCCTGTTCCGGTCATGGAGCTCGTCATTGGTACCAGATCTGCACATGCCGTGGTCGTGGGATCGATCCACCAGTTAGGAACCATCATTTCAGCTTATGTGTCACAAGGGGTCATTTTTTAAGCAAATGTACTTAAATATTTCAAATTGAGGAACCAGAATATGGATTATTCCTGTATATGTGTTTATCATAATCGGAAAACCTTCAGTAAACTGGAGGAAATAGTTTGAGGTTACAGACAGCACACTACACAATCACAACATAGTGCAACAACATTGCACTGAAAAGAGAAATAGACATTTATTCATTTTATCTATATATATATATATATATATACACACAGACACACACCTGTAATCATATTTTTGTGGGGAAAAATGCTGTTAACTATGACATTCCTCCTACCCAGCCCAACCTTAACCATAAGAAACTAAACAAAACACAAGACTGCATGCTTTTTTTTACATTGTAGTCATAGATTTTTTTGAAAATCGTGTTTTCTCTTGTGGGGACCACAAGGTAAGGTATGTCTGGACCGCACACACACACACACACACGCACACGCACACACACACACCACATCCATAGTTCCAGTCCAGTGCGATGACGTGTGAGGAAGCAGTTGTTCTGGTCAGTGGCTCCTCTCCCTTTTACATTCCATCCATCTGGATGCTTCCGTCAGTTACAGTAACCAACATGGCCACTAAATCACATGCAAGCCATCGAATCGAATGTCCTCTGAAGGAGAGACTTCTGAGGCAAAGATGTTTCTTTAAATCCCGCATTAATGGTAGTGATGTCTGGAGATTGATTTGGGGACACAAACGTCAACAAGCCAGTCCAAGCATGGAGATTGTACATCTCGTGGAAGGACATCAATGTTGGGAAGCAGAAGCTGGGTGGGACGGAGGCATCCCCGGGGAATGTCACAGGCCCGGAGGTCACGCCGTCTGGCTGAGGCGCCGACGCTGTTCAAACCAGATCTGGTTGGGTGATGTCACCACTGGTGACATTGGAGGTGATGTCATGTGATTAGCTAATTGGCTAACGCTAGCCCTGCTGAAGCGAAGTATAAGTACGATCAATCCTGGAGTTGCACTCCATCACTCCCATGTCAGGCAGGTGGATGCACACACACGCACACACACACACACGCACACACACACACACGCACACACACACACGCACACACACTCGTCCACACTGTGCCAGCAAAACTTTGGCCTCTCTCGGCTGCTCTGCGTTGCCATGGATACCCTCATCCACGGCGCCTTGTTGCCTGACGCGATGACAGCGCTAAGACGGGAAGGTGGTGGTGGAGAATGGGGATGGGGGGGGGGGGCATTAAATAAGGGAGGTGTGTGTGTGTTTGAGGGTGTGAGGTGGCCATTTTAGTAGATGTCTGACCTGATGTGGGTCCTCGATGCTTCAGAAAATGCTGGAGGTGGG